TTACTATAAAATATATAAAGTCCATCCTTTTCAAAATTAGTTATCTTATTATGTTTTAATAGAACTTCCATCATGAAATAAATTCTCAATATATTCTAACGTAAACACTCGTGAAGGTGGAGAAGTTGCATTAATCTTTATGTAAATTATACCATTTTTGGTCCAAGTATTTAGAATTTTTCCCTCCTTCTTTAAAACTCTAGTTCTATAAAAAAGATTTCTATCATATGGCGTAAGATGATCATTTATATAAATTTTATATTCTTCATTTATTATATTACATACTCTAGAGGTAATTTTTAGTTTATTTTCTTTAATTTTATCGACAATTTTTTGCTTCGTATTAACATTAGCCAATTTCACTACAATCGGCTTTGTCTTACGCAACAATGAATTTCTTTCATTCGGAAGAGACCTAGGCCTATAGCAATTTACAATAGATAATTTATCAAATGTATCATCCACAAATGACATAACTTTATAAACAATATCAGTTAAATTTTCATTTATCAAAGTAGGAAGTCCAACAATTTCTAAACTTGAATTATTAACCTCTTGCTCTATAGATCTTAATTTTTCGTGTGTTTTATTTAATTCTCGTTTCAATATAGAATTTTCTTGTTTTAACTCTGCAATTTCAACCGAAAACCTTTTATTGTTAATCTCCAAAGAGTCTAGACGGTCATTAATTTTATCAAATTTATCTGATAAAAATTGAATCGATTCCTTTATACTTTTATTTGTTTCATTTATATTTTTCATATCTCCATAAATTTGTTTAATTTCTAAAAATAGTTTGTCAAACCGGGTTGTCTCTGTTGGCTCAGGTGTCGTTGGAGTGAGCAAGAAGTTACTTTGCTTATTATTACAATCGCTCGGTTTGGCATTTACTGGAGAAATAAACTGAGTTGACTCACCTAATTCATCTTTTTGTCCCAATTCCAAAACTGAATTTGCATTTCCTTTGAAATTTTCACTGGTCTACAAGATCCACATTTCCAATTTTTTTTATAAGTTTTACTATATTTATGAAAAGCAGCACTACCAATTCCGTAACAGTAGAAATGAGCATTTTTCAAACATTGTGAACACGAAAGTATATCATTATCCAAAATTTTTAAATTGCAGACACAACATGAGAAGGAACGACGGTTAGCCATGCATCAAGGACACCAAGCGGACAAAAAACCGCTTGCCTACTAAATAACTGTAATCATTGCCCACTAAATAACTGTAATATAGATAAAGCTAATGTAAAAATCTTATATAAAGAAAAGAATACATATAGTAAGAAATTTAAAGAAAGTGTGGCTATTATAAACTCCAGAAACTGTATAAATAAGAATCTAAGCGTAAAAATAAGCAAAGATTGCTTGAAAATATTGTAAAACTAAAAATTTTTTAAATGCTTTCTAAAGAAAAATTTTAAGGATATTTTAATAAATTCTGTTTCATTTGGCTGTTATTGGCTATTCCAAATATTATGTAAATTCCGACTGTTGTAAATAGCTAAAAATGCAAATTAGCAACCGAGCTCAATATTGTGTAAAGAACCGAAAACAAATTTTGTTATAGTAAGTTAAGTGAAGTTTATCTGATCCTGTTATGTGCCAAAGACAAATTGAAAGAAGCCAACCAAATATATCCATCAATCTTAGAAAGGAATCAGCCAATATATTTATCAACTTTAGTAAGAAGGGTTAATGTCCAGATACGTGGACCGTCATGGCGGCACTTCCTGTTTCAGCCTCGAAACCAGACGGTTTGCAGACGATGTGTCACGTGACGACGCGAGCGAACGGCGGCGGCGGATGTCATGGCGCCTCATCGCTGATTCCAGCAAAGAAAAGGAAACAGTGGGGACGCACATTCTAACCTATTCTAATAATATAATTGGTAATAATTATGCTAATTTATTAGAATAGGTTAGGTTACGTTAGAACGTGCGTCGGTGCGTCACGTGACACGTCGTCTGCAAACCGTCTGGTTTCGAGGCTGAAACAGGAAGTGCCGCCATGACGGTCCACGTATCTGGACATTAACCGTAAGAAGCATTACGTCTACTTAACTGTAAGAAACAGCACTAGAACAAACTTAGTATGGTTTAGCTCTATATCTGTATAAGCTTGTAAATTTATATAGTGTTTTATTGTTTAATCAGATGTACGTAGATTTTATAGCGTTGATGTAGTCAACTTATCTTTCCAGTAAGGAGAACGTGAACTTATGCTTTATAAGTGTCATTGCATGCATTGCGTGTTTAATGGGACGTTTTTAAAATATACGTGTTTTTGAATTGAGTTTGTATTATTTAATTTTAAAATTGTATTAATCCAATATTGTATATGTTCTTTCTTATCAGTTAACTGATGATGGGCTAAGCGCCCGAAACCTGTAAAAGTGCCCGTATCCACTAAATAAAGAGGAAAAGGCCAAGTGTTTAATTAGTAACACAGTCTTGTGCTTAATAGTCAGTTTTAATTACTTACCAGTTTTGCCATGGAATACTGAATAAAATTGCTGTTTACCACTGTTTAGCCTAATTATCTGTATTTATCTATATGCGTATATTACAGAAAAGAGATTGTTAGGTGTACAAAAAGTGTGTTTTAAGATTTTGTTTTATTCCCTTCTGCAGATATCGCTTAGCAAATTGCTGAAATTTTTTTCATTATTTTCTACAATTCATTGTCAGATTTAGCAAAATGTCATTTATGTACTTTTAGAAGAAATGTTTTGCTTTTATCGAAATGTCAATGCTACGTAAATCTTCTGCACTTACCCGTAGTTGAGAGATATTCAGCAGGAGTAAAAGCGGCTAGAAGGGGTTGTAGTATTTGTGTTTTAGGATCGGATGATGTCTTAAGACGAGGTATGTGAAATGTCTGAAAATTTTCTTGTTCTCTACAGAAATGATATAAGAAAATATTTTTAAAACATTCAGTGCCAAAAACAGATTAACGAATTTTTCAGAAATTTTTAGAATATTTGTATCTCTTTATTATCGAATGTGATAACGCTTTGTATTAGTGCCCTGCCACACGTATAATGTTAAAGTGCCAAATTTCACCATTACTATCTGAAACACCAACGAACCGATTTGAATAAAATCTAAAATATTTAATTTCCGCGATGAAGACCATGGAAATGTTAATGTTCAATAAATTTGTTGCATCGTTCTAGGCTTAGGAAATCCAAAATTTAGCATTTTTTGCATTAGATTTACAATGAGAAGGATATTCCAAAAACTAATCTACCTACAAACATTATTCTGATGATTTAAACATAGAATCTTTATAAAATAATATTTCATTCAACTTTCCTGGTTTTTATCTACTTTCCTATAGATAACAAGGGAAAGTATTAAAATCGTGAAAAAGTTGACTTTCCTAGTTTTTGCAAATATGCATGCTTTGAGACCTATTGTTTACTACTGTATATATAGAAGATAAAATATATGTTTCTATTTGTTCTTAGATTTCTATTATGCATTTTATTATATATACAGTAGAGCGTCGTTTATCCGAATCAATTGGGGACTGGGGTTGTTCAGATAACTTATATTTCGGATAACCGATTATGTACGAAAAAATATATTAACCTATCTCGTGTTGAAATTTTTCTCTGTTGCGTGTCGCTCCACGTTGAATTTTCGTCGATGTTAAGCCTAACGTAAACTTTTTAAAATAGTAATCGTAGCTATTGTATCGTTAAAAATGATTTCTTTGTTTTACAAACAAAATATATACATTGAACAATATAAAAACAATAAAAATTATACTTTAGGCCAACTGGAATTCTTTCGGATAAACGACGCTCTACTGTATGTATATATTATATCTATTCTCTGGAACATTGAGAAAAAGCTGCAGGCTTTCACCTGACTGTCACATGATTATAGTATTATTATGAACAATATTCTCTTATGAAGTTATTGATGATTAATAAATATATGAATTCTTTCCAAAATATGATAAACCAGGTTGAAAAAGTAGAGCTCAGCAGAAGAATCTGAATAAAAAACGTTATGAAAGTTTTCACTGAAAATAGTGAAAGCAGAGTTGACAGTATGATTTAACATGCCAATAAAGTGCACATTACACTGACTGAAACTATGAAGCGATCACGAAGATGATAAATCGGAAAAACGAACATAGTCACTTAAAAAGGGTTTAAGCCTTACTTTAAGCCTTAAAGTTGTTTACTACATTAATTCGGTTAAACGTAAGGACATCTTGTAGTAGTATCAGTAAAAAACTTTAAGATACAAATTAGAGCTGGAAAACTTTTTCTCTGAAAATGCTTGTTTTCTCGATTTATTTTCGATGTGACAATAGTTAATGCAAAATTTCCTTTAATTGTAGTTAAAATAATGTGCACTTTGTTCACATGTTGAGTCTTACTATTTAATCTTCTTTAATTATTTTTATTCCATAACTTTTTAAAAGTTTTTTTATTCAGATGCTTCTGCTGAGCTTTAATTTTTTTAACTTGGTTTAACACATTGTTATTAGATAATCAGTATTTTAATTAGTAATTTAAATATTTTGTTTTAACACAACCAACAACAGACTTATATTAACTTACGTTTATTTTAAAAACTAACTTTTGATGTTCCTAAGTTAAAGGGATAATAACAGAAGTCTGTTGTTCGTTTTATTTGAACAAAATTTTTAATTCACTATCTAAAATAAAAATAAGATCTGTGATATATGAATATATATTATACTATATAAAAATTCATAGTATTTCACTTCGGATTGTTATCTCTGGAAGGAATATGTACTTGTGAACATACCTAACAAAATGTTAATATCATTAAAAGTAAAATTAAATACATTTTGAGTCTATTTACCAGCTTGAACAGACTGCACAAAATGCTTAATATGTTTTCAATATGATGTATGTATTGAGAATAAATTTACTAAATTGTGAAATTATTTCTGTGAATACAAATTACTTTCTGTCATATACGCATTATTAATTTCGATTCGTAAAATCTATGGATCATTTTGGGCAATCTGTTGAAAATGATCGAAAATTATGTTTAAAATTTTGACACATACAGAATAGCCTCGATTATCCGACCCCCGATTAACCGGCACCTCAATTAACCGACCGTCCTAGTTGGCAAATTTCAAATGTCTGCTAGTGATGTCGCGCTACAATATTTGTCTATGTCTCAGCTACTTTAATATTATTTTTACGTTTTTTAGCTGGCAACACTCATTCGACCATGAAAGGGAGGCAGTATATAAACGAGGCTTAATTTTCTTATTTTTAACGATACAATAGCGACGATTATTATTTAAAAAAATTTTTGTTATGCTTAACATCGATGAATATTCAACGCAAAGTAGGTTAATAGCGATATACTAATATACTAATTACATGAAATATAAGAATATACTACATTAATAGTGGATTTTTTCATACTTTTCGGTTATCCGACTTTTCAGTTATTTGACCAACCCAAGTCCCCAGTTGGGTCGGATAATCGACGCTCTACTGTATATTTTTTAAATCTTTTCAAAAAAGCGTGCACCATAGTGTAAAATTAAACACCTTTATTTTCTTATTAATTAATTACCTGTTGAACATCAAATGGTATCCGTGCGACAGATATCCCAAACAATTTAACAGTGGTAATGCCTTCATATTTGCAACAGTAAAATGTTTCTTCACATACTGGAAGCCGAGACATATTGAGTATAGTCTGAAAATATTTCCACCAATTTTCCGGATGCAAAGTAATTCTAGACGAAATACCAAATTTGTGAACACAATTTATATGAGCGAAATCTGCTGCATTTTCAAAAATTTCCTGTAGTATATAAATCAAAAAGTATAGATAATACATTTATTTCATTTGCACGGTGTTGTTTATAAATACCTGAATATGACAATTCAAAATGTGTTCACTACAAGCTTTATAGAACATTAGTCGATTCTCTATTTCTGGTATAACTGGAGGTTTCCACAGAGGAGGTTGGCCTTCTGCATGATGCCACACGTAAATAAATCCATTTCGTTCGATGGTTTCCCAACTTTTTATTTTAGCCTTTTCTGGAACTAAGTATAAATACATTTTTTACTGTGTCTTCTATTTAATATTAGACGAAAAACAAAAACATGTCTTTTCAGCATTGTAAGAATATAATAGTCTGGTGCATTGGTTTTATTGAAACGTTGAGAGTAAAATTAATTAATTCGTTTAATAAGACACATGTTAATCAAACTACACGTTATTAGTAATACGTATAATTATGTGAAGTCCCTCAAATATTTTGTTATTATTTTATCTGTATAAATATATACAGTAGAGCCTCGATTATCCGACCCAATTGGGGACTGGGGTTGGACGGATAATTGAAAAGTTGGATAACCGAAAAGTATGAAAAATCCATTATTAATGTAGTATATTCTTATATCCCATGTAATTAGTATGTTAGTATATCGCTATTAACCTACTTCGCGTTGAATTTTCATCGATGTTAGGCCTTACAAAATTTTTTAAAATAATAATCGTCGCTATTGTATCGTTAAAAATTAGAAAATTAAGCTTCGTTTAAATACTGGCTCCCTTTAATGGTCGAATGAGTGTTGCCAGCTAAAACACGTGAAAATAATATTAAAGTAGCCGAGACATAGTTAAATATTGTAGCGCCACATCACTAGCGGACATTTGAAATTTGCCAACTAGGACGGTCAGTTAACCGAGGTGGCGGTTAATCGGGGGTCGGATAATCGAGGCTCTACTGTATATGTATTTGTGAATTGTCATTTATACTACATTATTTGTATAATTTTAGTTTTAATTATTTTAATTCTTTTGATATTAATGAATTAGCTTTAATTAATCAGTTAAAAATTTTTTGTATATTAAACTCTATGTTTACTTTATATCATTTTTTTTGTTCTGTCTGGTGGTATAAAAATAACTGTTAACTAGCAGACAACACGCCCTTTAGACCCACAACTGGAAGAGAAGATGCGTATGTAAACGTCAAATCGAATTTGTTTATCTATCAAGTAACGGTGTAAAGGAATTTCACCTATTTCTCCAATTTTAGGGACCCCCTTTCTAAATTTTTAGTAATCGCATTAAAATAATTTAGACAAACAAATTAGAAAATAAAGATTATTAGTTAATTGCTATAAGTCTCACACCATGCAAAGGAAACGGTGGGTGATGCCCAACGTTTTCCCCTTTTTCGATGGTGTTATATGACCAATGGTATCACATGGATGCACATTATCTCTCATTGACAAGAGAGGAGGAGGACAACTAGGTGACCAATCATGCATTTTTTAAATTATCTCACGTTCCTCCAGAACTAAAGCATGATTGGTGAAAAACAAAGAAAAATAAAAAGAAGTGACGAAATTATCATAGAGTGAAAGAGAATTTACAGAGTGAGACAGAATTGAGAGAGTGGGCAAGAGTAACACAGGACTAAGAGACTGTTTGATTAACTGGACGGACAAAGGATTGAGCAGACAAGAGATATTCGATCTAGTGAAGGGCTAGATAAAGAATAAAGAAGACGAAAAGATAGAAGAGAACAGAGAGAAAAAGTAAAGAAGGAATAGAAAACAACTCTATTACTGGCATGTTGTAAGACGCGCGCAGTTGGTATACCACCGTTAGGTACACCGTCGTTTTATAATAGAAATAGGCCAATTTTCTAAATCAAGTCTTATAATATTCTTTTGAACTTTGTTTTTCGAAAATAAACTATTGTTATTTGTATCTGATGCTGCATTCACCTCCTGAGAGGCTCATTCCTATACTTCGGAGTTAATCTTACACTCGCGCCTTAACTTTTTTTTTTGACAGAATCGGCGGTGTTTCCGACAAAATACATTTGAAGACAGGATCCTACCCTAAACTGGCAAAATCTAATTTTTGACAGGCCCCCTTACCCCACAATTTTATATCTCTGTTGGTTGCAAAGTTAACAAAAGAAAACTATTACTATATTTAGCATAATTTTAAAATAATTTAAAAGCATTCCATAATTAAATACAAAAACCGGTTAAATTTATTTTGCTGTAGGACATGTGCAAAGGCAGTGCCATCAGCAGCATAGAATGACGTAGACGATTGAAATTGTCACTGTACTTGGCACATACCATATCTCGCGTCTTTGATCTCAATTTGCCTACTCAGCAGGCCAACAAAACCAAGAAATGAAGAGTTCACAGCAACTCAGTTGCTCATGTTATGCTGAAAATTGCTATACTAATGTTTTGGTAAATCTGCAAAATCAAGTCATGGAAGTCAAATCAAAAATTTAACCTCGATGCCTAGGACAGGGTGCTTACCGAAAATGTGTTTAAATCGGTTGAGTTTGAATCGGCTGTTTTGCTCTAATCCTGATTGCAAACCTGCCATAGTAGATAGTAGTAGCAAGTTATACAGACAATTGACAACTGTAAAGAATATAAATATAATAGTCGCAAGTCGATGAATAAAAGACTACCAAACTGCTCAACCCACATTCAACATCAGTCCTTTGGCGTAAATCGTACCTGGATCGTATATTTCTTCGTACTTGTGACCCATTTACATTGGTATGCATTATGTCAATTTACCATTATAAAAATAGGTGCGCACCCAATTAATTAATCTATACAATACTCTCCATTACATGGAAGTATCGTATGGCTTAAATAAGCACTAATTTCTAACTAGGGGGATTGTTTTTCTCAGCATTTACTAGGTCTAACCTGGCATAAACTTATCACAACGTTGCAACAGTAGAATCTTTTTTGCATGAACACCACATGTGTCAGTTACAAGTTTCCATTAAGTAGATGGTTGGTATGTATTTGTATTAATCATTAATTTCTGTATGTTTTAGCCGTTTTTCACATTTGTATAATTTTGCTTATAAAGTAGTAAACTGAACTGTGATATTAATTTTAGTCAAGCGACCTGTTACATTGAAATTGTCATATGTGCTTTACAATGTTGGTAAGTTATAAAGTTTTGTGGAATTTTGTGGGGTTTTATTTTTCCCAAAAAGATTAATAAATCATTTACCAATGTTTTCCATGCGTGTAAGACATAGTAACGGTGCGCTACAAAGCGCACCGTTACTATGTCTTACACTTAAATGGAAGCACTAAACAGTATTTGCATACTGTTTAGTGCTTCCATTCTAATTGCCATGTTGAAAATGTCTGATGCTATGTTATTTTTAACATTAAAATTTTACATTTCATATTTATCATAAGATCCTGCTATTAATGTAAAGCGTTCATTACAGAGATTTTCGTGTTCAAGAAATTAATTTATATAACTCTAATCATTACATTAACACTAATGCACCATATTCATGTTTCCTTGCAATGCAAAGATAATCAACTAAACGTATGAATTAGCATAGATGTATTAAAAACACATATATTTAGCACTTCTCACTTTTTTCTGCGTAAGGTATTTTCACGCAAGAACCATCCTGTCCAGCAAATCGCCATCCGTGGAAAGGACATTCGATGCAATCCTCGTAAACCTTGCCATCAGTTCCTAAGTGAGCGCCCAAATGAGGGCAATAAGCATCTAAAACAAAACATGTTCCGGTTTTTCCACGAAATATAACGAATTGTTGACCTGTAAAAAAATTATAATTATTTCCAATTATAATATTTTAAAATTTACTATTATTCATCTTATATAAATGTGCCTTGTATAGATATAGATTGTGTATCATTACAATTAATGTATTTACTTATATATTTATAAATAGTTTAATATTTAATTTGCATGACTAAAAATATGTGTAAAATCTATACTAATTAATAAAAGAATTGCTAATTACGGTGAAAACACACAATTATTAGCATTTATTAGTAACATCAGACATCAGACATCTACGAAATGTTAATAAAAATTTGCATTCAGAAAGAAAAAACAAGACAATTTATTTATTTATAAGTAATTAATATAAGTAATTAATTGCAAAGCGTGAACGAATGGCACATTGTAATTGAATCTCTACAACTTCTATATAAACGAATTTGTAAACATTAATTATTGATGTGAGAAAATAATTTATTACTGTTAATTTATACGTAAGTATACAACAAAAAAAATATCGTAGTTTTCAAAATATTTTTTGCAAACAATTTGATCGAATGGCATTCACACAAAACGTCAGAAATATATAACCAAAAAACGAAAAAAACAAAATTAAAAAGAAGCCTATTTATAAAAATGATTTAAAATTACAAGTTTAGTAATGAAAAAGAATTTTGTTGAAATTTTGTTTGTAAACAATCTTGCTTTTTACTGTCTTTCGATGAAAAATAATTTTGATACTTTGACATCAGAAATGTTCTTCGTTTTGGAGATATTAAAAGTTGCAGGAAAACGAAATTTAACTAGCTTGACAAGTATAATGCTGGCATTTACAATAAATAGTAAAATAATACGTAATATTTGCAATTGTCATGATAGCGTGCGTAACATTACACATCTGTTCTACTACATAAACTACATACAAAGAAATATGTAAAAACTTTATATGTACTGAATTTCTATATTTCTATAATAAAACAAAATGTAATTTTCTGTTTCATTACAGTTCTTTCGTGTTTTCGTTTTACAGTGTGAAACAATTAATTTTTCTTTTCTTTTGTTTTAGTGTCTTTTATGTATAAGGTGTTATTGTTATTACTTGATGGTGATTCTAACTGAAAAAGGATTTTACTGCGCAAGAGTGACTAGGACTGTTGAGTCGCTTCAAAATCGCACAAAGTGTACAGCCAGCATTAGAAGAACAAATGCTTAAATTACTGTATTCGAATAAAGCTACTAAAATCGTGTTGTGAAAAAGTAAAACGTGTAAAATGTTTCAGACGTTTAACATTATATCACAAAAAACATCTTTAAAACAAACAACTAATACTCTTCTTCTTATATTTGTAAACATGGACATAAATTATTAATAGGACTGATAAACAAGTGTTAAGTATTAACGCAAAATTGAGCAAAAGTTCTTAAAGAAAACAGACTTTCTGTAAGAACTGTTGCTCAATTTTTCGTTAATACTTAACAACAATTTAACAGTCCGATAAATAAATTATGTCCAAGTTCACAAATATAATAAGAATTCAGATAAAGACAATAAGGCAATAATAATTTAACTAATAATCTTAATATCTATAGTCTAATGTAATTTTTTAATTTTTAATTTTTTAATATCTTACCTAGAGCAGTAACAGGCTTGCACTTTCCAACAGGTAGATCTCTAGATTCTAACAAAGGTATCCATCCATTTGGATATGCTGGAGGAAATTTATTAGCCATTCTCGATCTATTTGTATCTTTTAATAACTGAATTCGTTTTCTACGTAATTCCCTCGCATTCATTTTTCCATCTTCATATCCGATATCAGTCATGTCCTGCGTTGATAAAGAGTATTCTTGAAAAGTAAATAATACTTTAAAATTAAATATCTGTTTATGTTTACTTACAAAAACATAGTTAATAGTCGAAAAAGAAAAGTAGACAATAAGAATACAAACAAACGATAGAAACAGTAGAAAAGGTTTATTTATAGTTATCGTAGCGATGCATTGAAAGATATCCAGAAACCCAGAATTTTTCCATAATTCTTCTGCTACACTGCCGTATATAAAGGTGAACATATTTGTTGAATTATAATCTTGTAAATGTCTGAAATAAAAAATTCAATTATATTGTTTAATAATTTATTAACTTCGATTAATTTAACAGATATAAACAATTATTATAACAAGTTATCTCAATAGGTTAGCATTGATACAGCTTGGGTTTACTGTTTCAATAGTAACGATTAGTTTTACGTAGACATTTGTTAGATCATATCATCGTTATATCCATTAGCGGCCAGATAAATATTTGTCCATGAAGTTAACAGTTTGAGATAGTAAGCGTTTCCAATTACCTCTCTTACTCAGGATATTTAATTTCAAAGTTCGGGGAAGAACGGCAAGATCTCTCCTAAACAAGTCAGTGACGTGATACCAGGTGAGAATAATACAGTCGACCTCCCCTATAACGTTCGTTTCTATAACGGAAATAACTATAACGTAGCGAAAAAATTGTAGCCACATTCGTTTAAAGTGACTCGTAAAACGTCGTCNGTTCGGGGAAGAACGGCAAAATCTCTCCTTAACAAGTCAGTGACATGACACCAGGTGAGAATAATACATACAGTAGAGCGTCGTTTATCCGAAAGTCGGTTATCTGAAACGTCGGTTATCCGAAAGAATTCCAGTCGGCAAATTTAAATTTTCGCTAGTGCTGTAGCGCTGCAATCTTTGGCTATGTCTTGGGCTACTATAATATTTTACGTTTTTGATACTAAATTAACTTTTAAAGTATAATTTTTTATTGTTTTTATATTTTTCAATAAATTTTTTTGTTTCTACAAAATAAATAAATAATTTTTAACGATACAATAGCCACAATTATTATTTAAAAAAGTTTACGTTAGGCTGAACATCGACGAAAATTCAATGCAAAGCGACACGCAACGGAGAGAAATTTCAGGATGGGATAGGTTAATGTATTTTTTCGTACATAATCGGTTATCCGAAAAATAAGTTATCAGAACAACCCAGTCCCCAATTGATTCGGATAAACGACGCTCTACTGTATAGCGTAATACTCGCGACTTTTTAAATTTTGTCTTTTCTGGATGGGCTATAGTAATGATTTACACGGTCGAAAGTTTCCAAAGATTTCTGGCTAGTACGTGTGCCGACAACTGAATCAGACATATTTTAAAATTTAATATATAGAAAAACAAATTTATGAAACAAAATATCACATTTATTCAAATCAAAAACGAGTAACAAATGAAAGTCTCTATGTAACAAATGTTTAGAAGAATGATATTATAACTATACTTAGTAAATTATCCATTGATTTTATCCAAAGATTATCCATTGACTGTATGTATGAATTTAATATGTATTTACATTGGGATTTTACTGGTAAATATCAAATAGAATATTATCAATTTATTGTAGCCAATAGACATAAACTAAATATGCAATCTATTAGCGAATATGCNTATTTACATTGGGATTTTACTGGTAAATATCAAATAGAATATTATCAATTTATTGTAGACAATAGACATAAACTAAATATGCAATCTATTAGCGAATATGCGAAGTTAAATGAATCAACAACGACATTGTAAAAAATTATTTAAACCGTAAAATTATTTCAAAGCATCAAAAGTTATCATTTGATTTAATTGTTTTTTAATATTATCTGATCTTGAACACCCAAGAAGTTCGATATGTAAATAATTGTAATTCCATATTTTTAAAAAGATTTTTCTCTATCGATCTATCTTTTAATAAAAATATTTTGGTATACGTTGTGAAATAAATTAATACGGTTTGTAAATTGCTATGTTTCATCCAGCCAGATATATCCGATGGTTTTCTGTCTATAGAATTTAATTCACGAATTTTTTGGTATTTAAATCAACTTGCTGTTGATTTTTTACCGACAATTGATTCTTTTTAACAAAATGAATGTAATTATCACAACTTATCCAGCAAATAATAGACTACTCAACTACACTTAAAGTTGCAGAGAAAATTTTATTTAAACGTAAATATCTTTTTAGGCCAATTCGATTAAACATCCTTAGGTTAATTAAATGAGAATAAATAATAATGATAAAATCGTTGCGGCGATGTGGGTGAAATCACAAAAATCGTGTACAATAAAAGTATGAACGCCATCATGAAAAAAATTTCAGATCAAAAAAAGTTTAAAATGATTTTGAAAATAGCTCTGAACCTCTGTAAGATATTAAGGAATTTCAAGGACAGCATTAATAAGAAAGAAAAGTCAGGAATATACAGTACAGTAGAGCCCCAATAATCCGACCCCCCATTAACCGACACTCGATTAACCGACCATCCTAGTCAGAAAATTTCAAATGTCTGCTAGTGATGTGGCGCTACAATATTTGGCTATGTCTTATCTACTTTAATATTTTTACGTGTTTTAGCTGGCAACAATCATTCGACCATGAAAGGGAGCCAGTATTTAAACGAGGCTTAATTTTTCTTATTTTTAACGATACAATAGCGACGATTATTATTTTTAAAAATTTTTGTTAGACTTGACATCGATGAAAATTCAACGCGAAGTAGATTAATAGCGATATACTAATATACTAATTACATGAGATATAATAATATACTACACTAATAATGGATTTTTTCATACTTTTCAGTTAATCCGACTTTTCAATTATCCGACCAACCCCAGTCCCCAGTTGAGTCGAATAATCGAGGCTCTACTGTATTCCTTATTAAAACATGCATTTAGGAATAAAAAAAAGCTATATTTGTGTTACTATAAAAAAATTGGGAATCAAGTTGAAGGATCACAAATATAATATCTATGAGGGATCTGACGTCAGGACATTATCTTAGACGGCGCAGGCCGAAGTCTCTATATTAAAATAAAAGGAAGCATATATTTTTAAGTCTTTGGACTCCCTGACATTAGACGTAAGCAGAGAAAACATTGAAATTTATAAAGGAAAGCTACAGGATACGTCGCATCAATATAAAAAGTACACAGAAGGAATTCTGTCAACTTGGAACTACTTACTTGTTAGTTAAATAGCTTTTTAGAAATCCTTCCTAACATGTGTTTTAGATTTTTACATTTTTTGTACTATTTCCTGATGTTATATCATATCTGATTATTATTTTTTTATTTTATACATGTATATATAAATTTTGTTATAATTTCTGCATCAATATNGTATATCAGGAATAATACGTAAATAAATTTATGCAGTGAAACAATTTCGGATGCTTCTGTGAATATTATGAAAAATGATTTTTAACATATGAAAACTTCTTACCTGATTTAATTTCGTTATTACGAAATGTACATCTAGTTCAAGATTAATGTTAGAAATTAGAACTTTGCATATTCCTGTTTTCGACTGTGAAAAGGTCAGATATAGCGATTTTATATGTCGATGAAAAATTACTTTTGCTGAATGAAGAAGTAAAGTTCAACAAGGCAAAATTATGTTATCGATAAACACATCCTTGATTACTTATTTTGTATTGAAATGTAGGCCATGTAGAAAGTATCAATTATTTGTTTTGACATTGTCACAAATCCGGGCTGTAATTTTGAATAATTCTTTTATACTAGCTGTACCCGGTCACGCCTTGCTGTGACTAAAATTGTATCTATTATAAATGTATAACACTCTCCGCAGGGCGAAATTTCGAAAAATCCCTTCTTAGTGTACATTCTTTTGAAGTACCCTATTAAAACGAAATCAAAGACGCAAAAAACCGCATCTAGAATAGTATAATAGAAGCTGAGTTTTCACGGTAAGCCTTAATTTTGTCCTTCTTTCCCGCGAAGGGGAATTTCGACATTTATGTAATATACAAGTTTGGACACGTGCACTGTGTATCTCGCCGACGTATCTCGTATTTCGTATACGTACGCGTCTTGACCCTTGCCACCCACTCAGACCAAAAATATAACGTTTACCTAGATGATATCTTTTAATTTATATGAACGTTGAACGAAATAATATACAGCCTATGTCCATTCTGAAGATTCATTTTAAATATTGGGGAAAAAATATTTAAAATCGGGTTAGTATTTTCAGGGAGATTACCTCCTACATCCATACTTACGAATTTTAATAATATTCTATAATATTAGTATAGATATTAGTATAATATTAGTATAGATTATTATACCTCTATAATATTAGTATAGATTATTTCATTTAAATTTATGCTCTTCACCTAAAATCTTCCGTACATCATACATCTTCTTATAACAATAGAGTCGTGGTTATCATTTATGTAACTGTTAGAAGCGGGAATTTTTGAATTGACGAATTGTTTTGCCCTCTAAGTGTGTATGTAGCTAGCTAATTGGAGCCTGGTACTGTAAGTTCTTCACATCTGGTCTCTGTTCTAACTGCATTCTCCAGAATAAAAAAAGACATAAACAGACAGACAAATAACAGTTGAGATCAAAAGAATTACAAATGTTTCAAATCGCTGCCCAATAATTACTACTTACGCCCTTTTTTGTTCTCTTTTCTTTCTGTCTCGATTTTTTCGATAAATACTTTTGTTATACATCGATAATAAAGTTGTTGATTTATGATTGATAAATGAGTCAGTTTAAATAATCTGTAATTTTATTATTAATTTCTCGTGACTAGTAAAGATATTATGCTGTATATTCGTTCGATTAAGCAACAGTTAAAGCATTAAACGTATTAGCTTCATACTAATTATTATACAGTAGAAATAGCTGTGCACTATCTACATGCGGTTCACTTAAAAAATTTTAGTTATTAATTACGTTAGAGAAAATTACAGAATATTGGACTTGAGTTTATTGACAATTCAGTCTTCTGTCAATATCAAATAAGTTTTTGCTGAAATTGAAGAATCACTTCGTCAGGTTGTAGATTGACAAAAAAGAAGTCATAATAATCTTTTTCAAATAAAATTGCCATCGAACGGTAAGTAAATGTATTCTTTACTTTACAGGAAGTTATGTATACATAATAAAAAACAGTATTGGAATCGTCTCAAATTCGATCTTCTGACTTTTTTGCAAATGACCAAGTTTTGAGAACCTTTGTATTATATAATAAAAAAAACGGCAAAAAAAATTTGTGAGTGTGCATGTTGGTGCATGTGCGCTGTAGTATATTTCGCTTATGAAAGTTTTACGGTATTTTATTAGGTTACACTGTCGAGTTTCTTATTAATAGCTAAATTGTCATAATTCTGACCTTTTGCTTTGAATATATTCTGAAAAACTCAATGAAAGATTAAATGTTTGAATGGGCAGTTAGACAATTCAAAAGGTTTTGGTAAACCATATCAGAGTTATAGGGACAAATATTAATTATTTACAGTTGTTTTAATTAATTAATTAATTAAAACTCCATAAGCCCATATCTAAAGTTAATTCGGGCTGCGCTCGCAACTGCTCAGTCCATATTCCAAGTTTTCTCGGACATGGACTTTAAAGTTCCATTAAAAAAAGCCTTGACTTATAACTTTTTCGAAAATGTATGGATCAGCATATATACATCGTCATCTATGATCTGTGCAAATTTCATGAATTATTTTTGCCGCGAAAATATTTTATGACGATTTATTAATTAGGTAATTAATCGCGCTATTGCTTTTGTAAAAGTTTTTTAAATGAAATTTATTAAATCGTTCTAGATTTCACTGTTTTGACTTCAGGAAAATTTTTTTAAACGCTATTCGATGTTTTTTATGACATCAGCAGATTTTTTTTGTTTTTTTGTTCAGTAGAGTATTTCCCGATATTTTTTTTTCGGTCTGCTCTTAATTTAATATCAATGAAATCAACAATATTTTGTTGTATTTGAACAGATGCGGTAAGTTAGCTCCCCACCTGCTTTACACCAATATTTTCCTGAAGAGTACATGAGAACTATTTGGGAAAGCAGACTCCAGCTGTTCTCAAGGTGAATCAGTTTGTACAGAATGTAGACTGCACGTGTGAAATTTCACATCTCGTTAGAGGAAAGAATAACAATCCTTACAGCTATATTTCTCAAATAAAAGCATTTATTTTAAATTGTTTTTATTATTATATATACTTTATTTGTAAAAAAAGTTTTTGGAGTGGTTTTTAGTTCGCAGGAATTATTTCCCGGAAATTTTTTGGATGTCAGATTCGCTTTTAAGCGGAAATAATCATTTCAGATAGAAAATAAATTTTCTGTAGATTTCTTAGTTACATTTGAATTGGAACAAGGGTCTCAAAGGAGTTAAAGCGTTTCATTATTTTTATTTAAGACAATTTAAGACACATGGTCAAATCAACAATATTGTACATGTTAACTCAAATTTCGATTTGTTAGTTTTCAGCCAGTTGCTGTTACCAAGAAATGCTGCAGTGATGCCGCGCGCTTCTTCGCTTATAATTGTGTTATTTTCAAGCGAATAATATCTAAACAACTCAAACTTAACCTGGCAATAATTTAATTTTTTTCATTTATATTTTTAAATCAATTCATAAACTATTATGACATACTGGTATTGTTTTTTTATTTTTTTTAATTTTATAAACATAAAAATGAAATTTTATCAAAAAACCACAGTCTGTCCAAAATACGTTTTGAAACCAACCAGTTATTCTAATTATGTGTTATAGAATTCCTTCCACGACTTGAATTTTTTTATGGAGGCTACTATGTCGTCAGGTTAAAACATTCTTTAGAAAACATACAAAAATATCCAATTAAAACGATAAAGTAAATAATGTTTGAAACTGGCAGTTTTATAGACGTTTTGAGTTTGAATTTCAGGCCAATATATCCACTTGATATGTGTGCTGTTAAATGTAGAATTGTAGACATGATCTTATTCCTCTGTGACAAATTATTTCAAAAAGTTTTGTTTGTAGAATTCCCTAACCGAACGGGATGAAAACTGAAAACGTCTGTAAAACTGCCAGTTACAAAAATATATTTTTTATTGTTTTAATTGGATATTTTTGTGTGTTTTTTAATGAAAGTTTTAACCTGACAACATACTAGCCTTCAAAGAAAGCTCGAGTTGTCGAAGGTGTTCCGGAACACATAGTTATAATAAATGGTTGATTTCAAGACATATTTTAGACAGACTGTGTCTTTTTTGATAAAATTAAAATTATAAATATCATCTGGCAATATTCTACAGATAAAAATGCAAGACAACTTAAAAGTATAAATTAAAAGATTTTCATTTCTTCACTTGCGTCCAGATACGTATGTATCCAGTCAACACATAGCGTTTTTTTCATTGAATTTTTCAAAAATAAATAACAGTTGTACTGCAGGCTTTGTTGTTTTCCTCAACTGTTATGTTGTGAAGCGATTCCTGCACTGGATTTGAAATATATCACTGTTTTTAAGAGAAATTTTACGAATAATAAGACAGTACCACCACCTGCAGTAAATTCTCTCGTAGTGTGAGTGCTGTACACTCATGATTGTTATGTGAAACAATTGCGATTCAATAAAATAACAATGTAAAATACAATGATACCTCAGGATACGAACGCCCCAGCATACGAAATTTTCAGGATACGACATTAAATTCGAACATATTTTTGCTCTACGATACGAAAAAAACTCACCATATGACGCTACATTAGTTCGCAGCGCCATTTTTTATTCACTTCTGTTCATTTGTCTCAGTCCGCATGTTTGCTTCGTCGTAAAAGGATCTTACTCGATAAAAGAAATCTCGAGGTATTATCAGAAAGTGACTGATTTTATTGAAAAGAAGCATCCCAAAAAGGTTCACACTGGCCATATTGCTGCTTGGCGTAATGACATTTGTCTAAGTAATTTTAGAAACATTTTAAAAAGTAGGCAAAACAAAACCTCTTTGGACAGATATTTTACCAAGCGACCTCTATCAGTGAAAGTGCTGGTGGAAGTGAAAGAAAGATGAATAAAAATTAAAAAAACAATATATATATATTGTTTTTTTAATTTTTAAGTTTTTTAATTACTAAGAAATATATATATATATATATATTTCTTAGTAATTAAAAAACTTAAAAATTAAAAAAACAATATATATATATTGTTTTTTTAATTTTTATTCATCTTTCTTTCACTTCCACCAGCACTTTCACTGATAGAGGTCGCTTGGTAAAATATCTGTCCAAAGAGGTTTTGTTTTGCCTACTTTTTAAAATGTTTCTAAAATTACTTAGACAAATGTCATTACGCCAAGCAGCAATATGGCCAGNTTACTATTAAAGTTTTTCTAAGTGATTTTTAAGTTATTGATACATTATGTTATGTAAGTTAAGTTTTAGTATCATTTCCCTTTTTCATCTCTTCTGCCACCAGTTTACACCTCCACTGTTGTCTGTCCTCAAAAGTAAAGTTCAAATAAAACTACATTTTTTTAAAAATCAGTTATTATTCTATTATT